ATCATGGCGAAAATACCCAAAAAATTTCGCCAGACCGTCTGTCGAAAATCATCCCTAATTTCGACCCCCATGTATAAGTACATAACGATAAACGCCTTTTGGCATCTTGAAGAGTCAAATAAAAAAAAAAACAAACTAGTTAGTGTCCATAACGATAACAATTATGCATAGCAATGTATACTTATCGAGGCATAAATAAATAAATAAATAAAATAAGTAAACTTTATATAACTTTATACGAGAATGACGTAATAGCAAATTTAAGTATATATAGAAGTTCTTTTCTTAAAAATTGAAGATAATGGATCGTTAATTTGCACTTGTTTGTAAATTGGTTGTCATTATCCGTGTGTTTGTGCTTTCGCTGATATCGCTTGAACTTCTCTGTTGTTGAAACTACCCAAAATTTACGTTTCTTGGTAGTTGTGGCGTTGAGGTATTAAGACTAAAATTTGATTGCATAATGGTTCAGAAAATTTACCAATAGCGCTTCAAAAAACATGTCAAAGTTTCAAAAAATAAAATAATAAAGCTTTTATTAAGTGCTCTTTTTGTTTTATAGTTATATCAATCGTTTGGTCAGTAGTTTCGTCAATAGTTTCGTCAATCGTCTGTAGTTTCGTCAATCGTCAAAGTATCGTCAGACGAAACCATGACGAACCATTTCGTCATTCGTGAAAATAGTTTCGTCACCCATCTTTAACTGTAAATAATTATGAATGCGGGACAAAATTCTGTAGATCACGGCCATTAGCCAATCAAAATCGAGAATCTGCCGTTAGACTGTGCCCTCAATTGTTTGGTTACACTGGTAATTTCTAGAAACATTATTTTTGGAAAAGTTGCTAAATTTTACATCTCCGCGAAATCCGATTGGTGTGGAACGGAATTAAGTGTCAAAATTAATTTCGTACAGTGCTGCACATAATAACCTGATCTTTTCGCAAATACTATTTATTCGACATTTGTATTATCATATGAATTTTTTGCAAAGATATTTTTTTTACACGAAATTATGCAATTAGTTGTACAGAATATCAGAAAAACTTTACGCGGTCATAAACATCGGATAACATCAATATTGGGCATACGATAAAATAACTGGATAATTTTTTATCTACTGCCCAACAATGTATACTTATTTCCTGGCACAGCGGAAATAATTAAATATTTCCCGTATTTTTCAGCTCCGATAAGAGCTGAAGAAAAAATAATTCCTCGTAACGGTGAATAAATGCATTATAGCCGTTTTCAAAAAGTTATGAAAGATGCAGATTACTATGCCATAGGGAATTCCTAGAATTCCAGCATTTCAAGATCCACTCTAATCGAATCTTTATAGCTGTTTTCAAAAAGATGTGGAACGGGCAGATCATCATATTACGGGAAATTTGCCAAGATTTCCAAGATTTCCAAAGTTATCAAGACCTGCTCCAATCAGTTCTTTACAGCTGTTTTCAAAAAGGTGTGAACAATTATTTCCACATACTGTACCTATGTGGGAATCGAAGAATTGGGAAATTATCATTAGTAAAATTGAAGACCCAATTATTTGCGTTTGTTCACACCTTTTTGAAAACAACTGTAAATTTTACTAATTGGAATATTGTGTACATTACGCTGCATTTGCGGAATTAAGCATCAAATTCAAGCCCGAAATTAAATTTTAGTTACCAAATTATTTATTAATCAATCAATGGTTAACTCCGAAAATTTTTTGAACCCCTGATCTGTATCGATAACGCGTCTAGTCCATCTTCCCACAGGCTAACCCATCTTCCCACACCCGACGCATTTCATCGGACATAGAAAATTATTAAAATGACGTATCATAACCGTAATGTATATGAAAAACATTTCCATATCTTTTTGAAAACATTTGACCCCGGAGTACTATACAAATGGTGTATCACTTATATGTTTCGATAGTTTAATAAATTACTACTTGATTAGGACTGGGTCACTTTTCAATAATGTTTGAATTTACAATTGAATAGCATCCCGACACTATTTCAAAGAGATTACTTTTTCATGGGAATACTGTGTGCAGCGCTGCACGATAGATAATAATTAGTAATTATGCGATTTGACGCACTAATATTGCATAATTTCCATGTCAGGTGACGTTCACCAGATGAAAATAAATGTTTCAAAATAAATTAAATTATTCTGTATTTGCATACATGAAGAAATAATTATGTATAAACCTGTTGCATATTGGGATATTTATCTCCAGATACTTACCTGATACTCATTGATTCGACAGTTTGCAGAAGTTCAAGCTACGTACGTACGTACATTATCTGTTATTGTTTAGCATAACCATATATTAAGAATTTGAAATACCGTATGAATATAATATTAAATACCAACCTCACGTTTGAATTTATTGATCGTTTTATCTTCAAAATGCAAGTTATTATTTAGCGATTTTAATGCATACTTGGTTCCTTCGGAAGTTACAGAATAAACGATCGCGAATCCACCTCTTCCTATGATTTGTTTCTCACATTGTGAAAAATCAAAATTTTTTATACTGCGCTCATTTAAATACAATTCTAATTGTTCTGAAGATTTGGTTACTAATATAATACAGATAATTAAAGTATTAATATGTGCATTAAACGAAAATCAAAATTTCCAATAAAGCGATAGCCTACGACCTTGAGTTATTGATCTATTAGCCATCAAAAAAATATATATATAATAAGAATCAATACAAAATGTATAAGCTGTATGAGCTGTATATATAGTTAAAAATTTAGAATATTTAGTGAACTTTTAATTGGAATATGGCTCTAAAGATATAGTAAGTTGTTGAAATTTCTAATAATCAATTTTGTAAATTTTATAAGAATTTCTCTATAGCATTAATTAAATTAACAAAGGTAAATAATGTTGTACTCAGATAATTAATTACATTGTCGAATTCCTAAATTGACATATAATGATAAACGACACTTCAACAATTATACTATTATTGGTTAAGATGAGTGTTTGTTAATACATAAGTGTGTAACAGATATTTTGGGTTATCAAGCAAATTGCTTTGTTAAAAAAGATTTCATTAAATTTTAAGCATAAATATTCTTGGCAACCATAGATATTCTTGGCATTCATAAATATTTTTGGCACTCGTAAATTTTCTTGACAATCATAAATATTCTTGGCAATCATAAACATCTTGGCAATTATAAATATTCTTGGCAATAACTTATTTGATTTTCATGAGTCAATTTTTATTTAATTCTACAAAATGTCAAATTTAGAGTTTCAATCCGGATAAATCCGTCATCCATTTATCCATTTCTGAATTTATCCGGGTATCTGTTTGCTATTGGTATCCGGATAATCCGACAAATATTCGGATAAATTATTCGGATAT